GCAAGTGATGGTACCAACGCCTTTGCGACATCAACTAATGGAATTAGCTCACGAATTTATTATGGGAGGCCATATGGGTGTCAAGAAAACCACTGACAAGATCCAGAAAGCATTCTACTGGCCAGGTGTTCAAGGTGACGTTTCTAGACACTGCAAGTCGTCTGACATTTGCCAGAAGACGGTAAATAAAGGATCGGTTCTCAAGGTGCCACTACAGAAGATGCCGCTAATCGACATGCCTTTCAAACGGGTAGCCATTGACCTTATTGGCCCGATAAGTCCACCTAGTGAAGCAGGTCATCGATACATCCTCACACTCGAGGACTATGCTACGCGTTACCCCGAAGCGGTTCCTCCGAAGAATATTGTATGTTCAGCCGCCTAGGAATTTCAGAAGAGATTCTAAGTGACTTGGGTACACAGTTTGTGTCTGACTGCATGAAAGAAGTTGCATGCCTTTTGAGTATTAAGCAGTTAACGACCACCCCCTACCACCCTATGTGTAATGGAATGAAGGAGAAGTTCAACGGAACTCTGAAGATCACAGTAAAGAGATTGTGCAGTGAGCAACCAAGACTGTGGCATCGCTACATCAACCCACTCCTGTTTGCCTACCGTGAAGTTTCCCAGGAATCTACAGGGTTCTCTCCATTCGAACTTCTTTACGGGAGAGCTGTAAGAGGTCCCATGTTCATTCTCAAAGAGCTGTGGACAAAAGAAGTAGAGGCTCCGGATGTGAAGAACAGCTACCAGTATGTCTTTGAGTTACGAGAAAAGCTGGAGGACACCTTGAAAATTGCCCATGAAGAGTTTCAGAAAGCCCAACAGAAAGTAAAACACTACTATGACCGCAAGATCAAAGTGAGAAAGTTTCAGTCAGGAGATAAGTTCTTGTGTTGCTGCCGACTGATCATAACAAGTTGCTGATGCAGTGGAAAGGTCCCTACGAAGTTAGCGCTGTAGTAGGTATCAACGATTACAACGTGAGAGTAAAAAACAAGCTGAAGGTCTACCATGCTAACCTCTTAAAGGCGTACAACGAGCGAGAAGAGGAACTTGGAGAGGCTGCAGCCGCAATCGCCGAGGGTCTGGTGACAAGCGTGTCCTGCAGTGGTGAGCCGAGTGAACTAGAACTGGATCCAGATGATGATGATACTGGCTTCCTAGAGATTGGTGGATATGTGGCGAAGGAATCCGTTGCAGATGTAAAGACTGGCCCAGGTCTTAACGAAACTGAGCGAGCAGAATTTCTAGATTTGGCGCAAGAGTTTTCAAGCCTGCTCACCGAGGCTCCCGGAACCACGAACCTTGTGCAGCATCACATCAACCTCACGTCCAATGAACCCGTCAGGTCTAAGCCGTACCCTGTTCCGAATAGTATGAGGGAATCTCTGAAGAAAGACATAGATGACATGATGAAAATGGGAGTTATCAGAGAGTCTAATTCTCCCTACGCCTCCCCAGTGGTGGTTGTAAAGAAAAAGGATGGTAGCAACAGAGCGTGCGTGGACTACCGAAAGCTCAACAAGCTAACCGTCTTCGATCGCGAGCCCATGCCAGCAACTGTTGACTTGTTTCAGAAGTTGAATGGAGACAAGTTCTTTTCGAAGATCGATGTGAGCAACGGATACTGGCAAGTTACAATACCGGAAGTAGATATCCCGAAGACGGCCTTTGTTACCCCAGATGGTTCGTATGAGTTCCTGAAGATGCCTTTCGGCATGGTGAATTCTGCGGTTACTCTGAAGATTGGAATGAAGAAATTGCTCAAAGGTATGAAGAATGTCGAGTTTTACCGGGATGATATCCTGGTCCACACCCGTACATGGGAGGAGCACCTTAAGATCCTCCGAGAGCTGTTAGGCGCCTAGCTCAAGCTGGCATGACGATTAGATTGAGCAAGTGTATCTTTGGTGTTGACAGCATTGATTTCCTCGGCCATAAATTGCAGCAGGGTTTAATTGGTCTCCATGAGGATAATGTCGCCAAAATCAGAAAAGCTCCAAGACCAACAACCAAGAAGCAGGTTCGTTCCTTTATAGGACTGGCAGGATATTACCGAGATTTCATCCCAAACTTCGCCGCTGTTGCGGCTCTCCTTTCTGACCTTACACGAAAGGGTCAACCAAGTAAAGTGGAGTGGGGTGACGCCCAGGAGAAAGCCTATNCGTATAGTATGAGGGAATCTCTGAAGAAAGATATAGATAACATGATGAAGATGGGAGTTATCAGAGAGTCTAATTCTCCCTACGCCTCCCTGGTGGTGGTTGTAAAGAAAAAAGATGGTAACAACAGAGTGTGCGTGGACTACCGAAAGCTCAACAAGCTAACCGTCTTCGATCCTGAACCCATGCCAGCAGCTGTTGACTTGTTTCAGAAGTTGAATGGAGACAAGTTCTTTTTGAAGATCGATCTTAGCAAAGGATACTGGCAAGTTACAATACCAGAAGCAGTTATCCCAAAGACAGCCTTTGTTACCCCAGATGGTTTGTATGAGTTTCTGAAGATGCCTTTTGGCATGGGGAATTCTGTGGCTACACTGAAGTGTGGAATGAAAAAATTGCTCAAAGGTATGAAGAATGTAAAGTTTTACTGAGATGATATCCTGGTCCACACCCGTACATGGGAGGAACACCTTAAGATCCTCCGAGAGCTGTTTAGGCGCCTAGCTCAAGCTGGCATGACGATTAAACCGAGCAAGTGTATCTTTGGTGTTGACAGCATTGATTTCCTTGGCCATCAATTGCAGCAGGGTTTAATTGGTCTCCATGAGGATAATGTTGCCAAAATCAGAAAAGCTCCGAGACCAACAACCAAGAAGCAGGTTCGTTCCTTTATTGGACTGGCAGGATATTACTGAGATTTCATCCCAAACTTCACTGCTGTTGCGGCTCCCCTTTCTGACCTTACACGAAAGGGTCAACCAAGTAAAGGGGAATGGGCTGATGCCCAGGAGAAAGCCTACCAAACCATCAAGATCCTTCTCACTAGTGATCCAATCTTGTGACTACCGGATCCTGAAAAGACCTTTGTTTTAAGAACGGATGCTTCAGACTACGGGATCGGTGCAGTTCTGATGCAAGAGCATGGGGGCAAATTGTTTCCTATCTGTTACGCAAGTAAGAAGTTGAGTGATGCAGAGCTTAATTATTCTACGATAGAGAAAGAGTGCCTAGCAGTCATGTGGGGTATCAAGAGATTCCATATGCATCTGTATGGTGTGCGTTTTGTACTACAGACCGATCACGAGCCTCTCAAGTATATGAACAGTGCAAAGTTCACTAACAACCAGCTGATGCGGTGGGCTATGCTCTTACAGAGCTACAATATGAAAGTGGAAGCTATTAAGGGATCAGATAACGTGGGAGCTGATTACCTAAGTCGTGTGCTGGAGTAAGCTTATTGCTGGAAGAAGTGTACACTGCCTANATGCAGAGCTTAATTATTCTACGATAGAGAAAGAGTGCCTAGCAGTCGTGTGGGGTATCAAGAGACTCCATATGCATCTGTATGGTGTGCGTTTTGTACTACAGACCGATCACGAGCCTCGCAAGTATATGAACAGTGCAAAGTTCACTAATAACCGGTTGATGCGGTGGGCTATGTTCTTACAGTGCTACTATATGAAAGTGCAAGCTATTAAGGGATCAGATAACGTGGGAGCTGATTACCTAAGTCGTGTGCTGGAGGAAGCTTATTGCTGGAATAAGTGTATACTGACTATCCACATAGACGATTTTTCGTTGTTGTGCAGAAATTTAGTAAATTTCTTCTCAAAGAGGGGGTTATGTTACGAAAAATTGTCTAAGTCAAGTTCTAGAACAATCTAGAACCGGAAGTCATTCAGCCGTGATCAATTTGTATAAGAACATTCCAGAACATTCTGATCCTTAAGTAATTACTCAGATTAGAAACTGTGTCAAACTACTTAATTCAGCTCCTAATAGAAGTTTCTAGAACTTTAAGCCTCGTGTATATTAGAGCGAGAGTTTCTTCTGTAAGAAGAGATTGATTCAAATTTGAAGAAGCAGTAGTGCTGTAAATTCGTGAAGTTACCTTACGGAAATAAATTAAGTTTGTCGCTGTTACCAGCGATCCTGATTTTGTCTGGAAACAATCCTGCTCTACAAAGATACTCGTAACAAAGCAATACTTAACATGTCTTTTCACCTCTTCCAAAGTGAATGATATAGTAACGTTTTTTGGCAGCAAAGTAGACAAGTTAAGGAATATAGAACATGCGATGACTCGTGTTTGAAGTCTTCCTGATAAAAGAGAAAATATGTATATTAGCAAATAATGAAACAAACTTTGATTTTTTAATATTTACATCACGTTGGAGACTCAATAAACTAAACTTAAGATAATTTGCTCATAAATGTTTGATTTCTATACTTTCGAATACCTACCCATCAAGAAAGGACTGACTTTCATCTGGGAGTAACTCGTGCATGTCCTTATATAATATTCCATCCAGTTTCTATGGACGAGATATAACAAATTTTATGTCACGATTTCTCGTTCACAGAATAAGACGATCGTGCAGAGACTCATTGCTAATTATTAAAAACAACACGCACTGCGCGCTTAGTCCAACATTACAGTGTCTATAATCATTGTCAAGTATTCATTCAAGCTTTTGAAGGTAGGAAGGAATAAACAACACTTAAGTTCTCCATTGTCCTGTCTAAAGAGAAATGAAAAATATCCTTCTATAACGGTTTTATTTTTCTTCGGTATATATCCTAAACAAAGGGACACGCTCAGATCAACTTTTCGATTTCTTCACAATAAAAAAGTTATCGATTCTGATTGGTTCTCCGCGGGCGTTTTTGTCACGCGATAGACGCGTGATCTCGTGATCTCCAGTTACAGATATCCATTTCACTTTTTCGTAATTAGATATCCCTTTTTCGGAGACATAGATTTGGTTAAGAGTATGATTGATGACGATAGTGCTAAAGTTTCTGCATTGGTTGCAAAATCAAGCTGAGTATGTTCCAGGTTAGGGTAAGGACTTCGTTGTCTTAGTGGCATATTTCCTTTCAAAGATTTCAGGGCAAACTAAATTAAAGATCAATCTGCCTGCCTTCACTTCTACTCCACAAGCACACACGTGATCCACCATTCTTCATTTTACTCCTATGAAAGGGCCATGGAGCGGTTCATTTAATAATAAGCAAAGCTTTGCTCATATGATTTCGTACCTTGTTTTCTAAAGAGTTCTGCTGGTAGAAAGATCTTTTCACTTCCATCACCATGATGTTCTCTGCCGTCCTCAGAGGGAAACTATACGTCTTTTTCATGACCAACGCTTACACTTCGAACCTCCATCACTGTAAACATCAGTAAATGCTATAAATTGACTGAAAAGAAAAGTTGTGAAAATATCGCAGACATCATGTTTACGGGCCAATTCAGAAAACTCAGAAACTGTCTGGGGTGGGTGAAGCCTCCAGTAAATAATCACTGGAAGAGACAAGGCTCGGACAAAACTCCTTTCTCAAAATGTAAACGTTTTTTTGTTGATAGGTCACTTTATAAATATATCATCATTCGATTTTTCTGAGCTCTGGACATACCATAAGGAATTAACACTTTTATACAGCCTTCTAGCTTCGTCAGAAGGCCGGTTAGACAACCACCCATAATATTTAAGAATTGGTTCCTGCTTATAATTAGCGCGCGTATATCGAGTTATGGAGTTTGAAGAGCACGAAAGAAGCGCAAGAGTTGCTTGAGGCGCAGCCGAGAGCAACTCTAGCTTTTTCTAACAACTCTAGCTTCTTCTCAATGTGCGCACAGCATGAGCCACGGCCTTATGTGCAGACACGCAGGAAGAGGATTAAGTAAGTAAGTAAAGGCATGAACCAACTCTTTTATAACATGGTGATAACATAACGGGCACTAAAACATGTCTCATTTGTGATTGACTACAAAGTTCTCACAGTGACAAAGATGATTAGGATCCTAACACGCCACAATCATTTGAGCAACAGTTGAACGAAAACGGAAACGCTTAAACTTGGTTCCTAAAATTGTCAATGAAAAACTCGCTTCTTCGAATTAATTATAAAGAAAATGTAGGCAAACAAAGTCAAAACAAACAAATTCCAAATACTCAAGTAAACATATCTTTGCTTGGCAAAAGTAAAAGGCTCGAGTTTGGATTGATCAGAATAATCTTCACATTGCCAAAACTTAACACTATTATTTTGCAGCTAATTTGAAAATGCACACGCCATGTTATATACGCACGGCCTTGGGTATATTTAACAAATAGATTGAATGTTGCTGAGTGTCTGTTCAGTAATAGATCACAGATGACGTCAAAATCACCATCGTGTGCCACTTATTTGGTAAGATCAAAACTAGTGGCACACGAGGCGATAGCCGAGTGGGTCACTGATGTTCTTACCACATTTAAACATCTTCTGTGATCTATTACGGAACAGACGCACGGCAACATGGGGTCTATTTGTTTTATATAACAAAGAAACGACGAAAAAAGCTTTTTTTTTATTTTAAAATCTTTCAACGTAACTCGAAAGCCGGCCTTTGCCCACTTTGGCAAACGCGAAAAACGCCGTTTGACGTTATCTATTGTCTATACAAAATGAAGTAATCTCATTGATTGCTATGCGTAGCAAAGAATTGTTATTGGTCCAAACAAATCACGCCATTGTCAAACTTGAGTCGAAAATCGCTTCTCGTGGATTGAAAACTTACAGCGGAAGCAGAATTGAACTGCGAAATCTACAAATCTAAAGAAAATGTTGAGTCAGTTTTTATCATCAGAGCAGCCCTGTGAGCCGAAAAGCTGGGACGGTGTCTTGAATGTTGCAGGAAATGAAAATATACGCTAAGAAAACTTGCGCCTGCGGGCCATTCGACTCGAGTTTTGGATGAAAGGAGCGTTAGTGATGGTGGAAATTTGTGTTCTAGTTCTGTGGTTGGTGATTGTCAAATCAGTTTGATATAGTGTCGGAGACACCTTATAGCTGGGATACAGTCGACCGTAAGCTGTAGTGCGCTCTTCTCTTCTCGCTACTATGCTCTGAATCGGACTGGAACATTCGCGTCGGAAAACAAGGTTAAACTTAAGGTCATGTGTTTATTTAAACTGATGATGTTT